TTTTAGTCACAAATTAGAGGAATATATGAAGGCCAAACTAATTGAAATGAAGGGAATTGCACAGGAAACCAATAGGGATGAAAAGGAAACTGGGACTCAAATCAAGGGAGTGAACCAGAAGGAAGGAAAAAATGACCAAACAGGAAAATATGAAGAAACAAGAATTCAAAAAAGAATGAGGAGAGGCTTAGGAACCTCCAGGACATCTTTAAACACTCCAACATCTGAATTATAGGGGTACCAGAAGGGGGAAAGGAACAGCCACCAGTGGAAAACTTATTTGAACAAATAATTAAGGAGAATTTCCCCAATCCGGCAACGGCAATAGAATTCCAGGAAATCCAGGAAGCTCAGAGAGTCCCAAAGAAGTTGGACCCAAGAAGGAACACACCAAGGCACATCATAATTACATTAGCCAAAATTAAAATGAAGGAGAGAATTCTAGAAGCAGCAAGAGCTAAGGGGACAGTCACCTACAAAGGAGTCCCCATCAGACTGTCAGCTGATTTCTCAAAAGAGACCTTACAGGCAAGAAGGGGCTGGAAAGAGGTATTCCAAGTCATGAAATCCAAAGACCTACAACCAAGATTACTCCATCCAGCAAAACTTTCATTTAGAATGGAAGGACAGATAAAGTGCTTCTCGGATAAGGTCAAGTTCAAGGAGTTCATCATCACCAAGCCCTTATCATATGAACTGTTAAAGGGACTTATCTAAGAAAAAAAAGATAAAAAAATATGAACAGTGAAAGGACAGCAAACTCACAGTTATTAACAACCACACCTAAAACAAAAGCAAACTAAAAGAACAGCTAGATCAGGAGTGGAAACATAGAAATGAAGATCTCAAGGAGGGTTAGCAACAGGGGAGTGGGAGGAGGGGATGGGGGGAGAAGGTACAGAAAACAAGTAGCATAGATGGTAGGTAGAAAATAGATAGGGGGAGGGCGAGAATAGTATGGGAAATATAGAATCTAAAGAACTTGAGACACATGGTCATAAACTAACGGGGGGAATGGTGGGGGCGGGGGGAGTTCAGGGAATGAAGGGGAGAATAGAACAACTGTAATGGCATAATCAATAGTCAAATAAAATTTTTTAAAAAGTACAGAACAACTATCAATTAGAACTTCTTGAAATCTAGCTGATCAGAAGTCCTACAACTAAAGATATAAAGAAGCCACAAGGAGACTGGTAGAAGGGGCAGAGATGAGGAACAGGCTGGTCCCACGCCCACATGTGGTGGATAAAAATGGGGATGGCTATTCCACATGTAGAGGTCCTCCCCTGAGGAATGAGGGATCCCAACCCTACACCAGACCCCTTAGCCCAAGTTTCTAGTGCCAGGAAGAGAAGTCCCCATAATTTTTGGCTATGGATACCAACTGGGATTGAAACTGAGGGAGACTGAGATTCTTCTGGAGCCCCCAGGAGTTCCTCTTAAAGGGTTCATACATGTACTTACTCAGACTCACTTGCTCTGAGCTCTGAAACGGGGGCAACAGCTTAAAAAGAATCAGAGACATATGGAGAGGAAATGAACTATCTGCCATTAGGGTGAGATCTGGGGAGACAGCTTTCTCCTAGACAGAACGGCTAGCAGAGGCCAGTATTCCCTTGATAAGCACCTCCTCCTCCCCAGAGCTGGCAGGTGGGTGCCACATCTGAGTTTCCTTCAACCTTGCTTATACTTTTTGCCTAGCCCTGGTGACTACCTGAGACCCCACAGCACCCAACTTTTTAAACCCACCCACACTGTTTCCAGTGGCTTTTCCATACCAATGTCCTGTCATGGCTCATGATTCCGATGTTCCTAAAATCTCTCAGACAAGCAGCATCTGATCTCAGTGTGCCCTGTACCTCTTGCTAAGTGGCCTCAGGCCTGGTACTAGCAGCAGACAATCTTGGGTAATAGATTGGCCTCACATGTGCACCTCCAAGCCCAGCTCAAGTAACAGCCATCTACAGATATCTTTGTAGCTTATGCTGGATGGCTCCAGACAGAACACAGGCAGTGGTGGCTAACCTTGTTCTGCTCCTCTCAGGAGGCTCCAGACAAGAATATCCAGTGGACAGCTTCATATGATGTTGAAGCACCACCATCCAACCACCTCCATAAGTGACACACTCAAGGGGTGACCTCAGCAGACACCAGAACCCAAGTGAAGTAATTCCTGCTCTGTGGGGTGAGTCCTGCACAACTAATCCATGGTGATCGGAGGTTGGTGACCAACAGTCACAGCTAGTACTTGCAGCTGAGCAGACTGGGGGTAAAACCCTCCCACTGATGTGCCAACAGCAATCAAGTCTCAACTATAAGAGGGTGTACACAGCACACACAGAGGGCACACCTCAAGTGCCCAGCTTGAGTGATCAGGCAGGCTGTGCCACTGAACCCCACAGAACACCTACTATGTTAGGTCACTTTACCAAGCCTGGGAGAATTAGCAGCTCTACCTAATATGTATAAACACACACACAGAGGTTGCCAAAATGAGGAGACAAAGAAACATGCCCCCCCTAAAAAATCCCCAAAACCTACCCCAAAACCCTAAGCAAAATGGAGATAAGAAACCTATTAGATGCAGAGTTCAAAACACTGGTTATAAGGATGCTCAATAAACATAGTAAGAAGTTCAACAGCATAAAAAGGACCAGTCAGAAATTAAGAATAATTTATAGGGAATCAACAACAGAGTAGGTGGTGAAGCCAAGAATCAGATCAGTGATTTGGAATATAAGAAAGCAAAACACACTTAATCAGAACAGCAAAAAGAAAAAAAAAGTCCAAATAATGAAAATAGTATAAGGAGCCTCTGAGACAACTTTAAATGTACCAACATTTGAATCATGGGGGTCCCAGAAGAAGAAGAGAGAGAGCAAGAAATTGAAAACCTATTTGAAAAAACAACAAAAAACTTCCCTAACTTGGTGAAGGAAATAAATAAGACATAAAAGTCCAGGAAGCACAGAGAGTCCCAAACAAGATGAACTGAAAGAGACCCACACCAAGACACATCATAATTTAAATGCAAAAGGTTAAAAACAAAGAGAGAACCTTAAAAGCAGCAAGAAAAAAGCATCTGATTACCTACTAGGGAGCTCCCATAGACTGTCAGTTAATTTTTCAATAGAAACTTCACAGGCCAGAAGACATTGGCAAAAAATACTCAAAGTGATTAAAAGGAATGACCTACAACCAAGATTACTCTACCCAGCAAAGCTATCATTTAGTACTGAAAGACAAATAAAAAGCTTCTTGGAAAAGAAAAAGATAAAGAAGGTATTATATGAAATAGTAAAGGGCTTATTCAAGAAGAAGAAAAAATATTAAAAGTATGAATAATCAAATGACAATAAAAACATATATATCAACAATTGAATCTAAAAGACAAAATAAACAAACATCCAGAACAGACACAAACTCATAGATACAGAGAACATTTTGATGAGTGCGAGAAGGGAAAAGGGTTGGGAACATAGGTGAAAAAGGGAAAGGGATTAAGAAGCACACAACTATTCTGGTTGTTACAGAATAGTCATGGGGATGTATACTACAGCATAGGAAACATAGTTGGTAACCTTCTAATAACTATAAAGTGTCAGATGCTTGCAAGATTTATTGGGATGATCACTTAGTAAATTATGTAATGTCTAATCACTGAGGTATGCACCTACAACTAATATAATAATGTATGTCAACTGTAATTAAAAAATAAAATAATTTAAAAAATAGAAATAGAAATGATATATTCCAGGAGACGTCATCATGAACATTCTCAAGGCTATTTTTATTGGTGAATATGCTGCAACACTCTTTTCTCAGAAGGACATAGGCCAGAATGGCATCTCAGAAGCTTATTTTACCAGACATAACAGTAAAGGAACCTTATATTTGTACCAGTGAAAGTTAATGTTTAAAACAAATGTGTTTGTTTATGTGCATTAAAAGACAAACAAACAAAGGAGGGTATTTAGAGAAGTATATTAGTTCATTTAAAAATGTTTTATTTGCCCTGGCTGGTGTAGCTCAGTGGATTGAGCGCAGGCTTGCAAACCAGACAATTGCAGTTCGATTCCCAGTCAGGGCACATGCCTGGGTTGCAGGCCAGTTCCCTGCAGGCCAGTTCCCAGCAGGGGACGCATGAGAGGCAACCATACATTGATGTTTCTCTCCCTCTCTCCTTCCCTTCCCCTCTAAATAAATAAAAAAATCTTAAAAAAATAAAATAAAAATGTTTTATTTACCAAAATTTTGGAAGATATATTTTTGTTTTGTTTTCAGTTGTTTTTAAGTAATGCCAAGACTATATATAGACTTCATTAGCATATTAGTGAGCAATGCTGCCTCATAAGGAAAAATCCTTCGAAACCCACAAATTAACTTGAGTGTCTAATTTTAAATGGTGTAAAGACTGCATTGGGATCTTAATAATCATGTTTTATAGAAAATGCTGTTGTACTGAATTTTGTGTAAACTTTACTAAAGCTTATATAAGAAATAGGATTAATAATCTGAAGTGTTGGCAAGTGTGTGTACCCAAATTATAAAAATATTTTACTTTTTCTTTTAATTATCACATTAAATTTTCCTTAAACTGTGATTTTACTTTAATTTTACTTTTTAAAATATTTTATTTATTTATTTTTAGAGGGGAAGGGGGAAAGAAAGAGAGGGAGAGAAACATCAGTGTGTGGTTTCCTCTCATGTACCTCCTACTGGGTTCCTGGCTGGCAGCCCAGGCATATGCCCTGACTGGGAATTGAACCAGTGATGCCTTGCTTCGTATGGTAGCACTCAATCCACTGAGCCACATCAGCCAGGGATAATTATACCCTTACATGAAGATTCATTTGCTAAATTTTCTTGGAAGGAATTTTCAAATATTTTGGATTAAGACCATGTATGAAGCACTGAAAAGCCCTTAGTATTATTTTCTAGACTGATATCTTTAATGATTATACCTCATAATTTGTAAGTGGAGAATCTGTGTGACTTACCCGATTAAAGCAGTGTTCATGGTTGGGTCCATAAAAGTGCTGGAGACATCTCACATTGTTTTTGTTGACGATCTTGTTGAAGAATTCATTAACATACTTGATAGGGAATGCACAGACAGCAGAGCTATTCACTGGTTCAGCAGAATCTGGCTTGCTTTGTGCAAACACCCCATAGAGAATGTCATCATTCAGGTTGGCACCTATCTGCCTAGCGAGATGGGCCCCAGGCTTACTGACATATGCAGCTTGGAGAATATTAAACACTTCCTCCCTTGGGGATCTCTTTCTTCTCTTTTCTGTGAGAATACACTCCAGAGGCATTTCCATGTAAGAATGCAATCCAGAGTCTATAGAACAGAACCTGATTATTCTTGTGTGAAAAGTCTGAGCATCAAGAGTTTCTCGTTGGACTGTCAAGAAGTAAATAAAATGGTTGCTTTCAAAGGCATGAACATACTTAATAGGGTAAGAATCTTGGAACTCAGGTAAAACATCAATATAGGACTGATCTGTCAAAAACTTAAAACCATCTTGTGTTTCCTTTAGTCTTCTCACTGATATCGAATGTACTGAATAATCTGGAAGGTAAGAAGAATTTATGGTATTGCCCACAAAGAAGTTGATGAACCGGTGCTTTTCAGACATCAACACCTTGGTTCCCAGGGCACTCACTACACAGTCAGGACACTGGCTGGGCTCTTCATCTGACTGTGGGGAGTACATACAATGTACTTTTGACTGTATGTCAGCAGTATTATAGTGAGGAAGGATGTGTCGCTGGCAGGCCCCTCTCCAAACACTTCCACAGCTAATGAGTTGATCATCATAGTATGTGTCAACAAGCAGAGCCATGTTGATATTATCTTTCCAAACACCACCCGAAAAATTGGCTTTGTGGCTGCAGTTCTGACATGGGAAGCAATCTGGGTGTTCCAGCATAGGCCCAGTCTTGTACTCAGAAACCTTCTGAAGGTCTTTGTCATTTAAAACATAAATGTAATTAGTGGCACCGAGGTAAATGTGATGCTTGTGTAAAACGACATTCTGGATGGGTGTTTCTGCGTTGAAGTTAGGAAGCTGATACTTCATGTCCACGTTCATCTCAGATTTTACTAGTGCCTCCTTGCACTCCCCATCACTCTTCTGCACCAAGATAAACAAAAGCACAAGGATGCCAGGTGCAAGCCCAGCACGGGCCTTCATGATGAGAAGTTTATCTGCCAAAACACATTCAAGGAGAAAGCAATTTAGTTGTCATTGGAAACAAAGAAGAAACAGAAAGAACTGTATCAGTTAAACTATTAAAAATACAGCTTACTAACTGGACATTTCACACTGAGTGAAAACAGAATCTCTAGCTGGTTTCATATAAAGATGCATTGTGCAATTGGGCATCACTCTACATAGTTTAATTTTAGAACACAAGCCAGAACAAGTAATTTTAGAGAACCATCATGAGATACAAATAATGATCTGTATTAAACACAATAGAACTACTAAGTTAGACTCATTTGGCAATGAAGTCAGAAACATACCAAATTTCTTTCTTAACTCCTTGCTGGTTGTTTAATATGCTTCAATATCTGTGGTTAATGAATGGGCTGATATTCAAACTTTCTCAGTTAGTCAAGTAAAGGAATTGTGGTTCAGATTCGTTTATTCTAGAAATTATAGCAGGCATTGTTTCCTTGGGAGCATGTAGAATTACTAGGCTAAATTTAACTTCCTTTTGAAAGAAAACAATAATAAATTCTAGAAGCACATGATCATATGCTGTTTATAAAAAAATTTTGTGTGCAGAAAAAAGGTATGGGTAGAGTAATTGGCTAGAGTTGACCTATTGTTTGGATAGACAAATGCTTAACTTAATGTAAAATCATGGGAACATAAAAACACCAAGCTGAAAATGTATACAATAAAATTAATATTCAGGACTAAAGACCTAGAATTATTTTATAGGGAAAGATAGCATATTGTTCATTACCAAGGCAAAGCTATTTAGTAAAAAGAACATTATTTTAGCATTCTGTGGTATGCACATGGACAATATTTCTACTAGAAAGCAGAGTGGATTTGTGATTGTTTTAAAAAATTTAAGGTGCACAAGTTATAAATACTGTAAATTCTACTTACAATAACTATAGGCAGGATGATAGTTGGAAGGACAGGCCTTAAAATGAATAGAAACTAAATAGGAAAATATTGTTTTCCTTTTTTTAATGTATACTCTGACAGAATAAAGGGAGCATCTAAAAACATACTGGGTGTTATAACTATTCCAAAGTCTAACCCTGGGTCTACAAAAATAGCAACATAATTCATTGGGCAACTAGTGTATGCATAGGTCTATGATTGAACTATAGGAAATTGGAGATAGCCCCTACCCTTCAGTGAATCTACAATGTGGTTGAGAGATAGTACACATATGCAAATAACTTTAATATATGGCTTCATAATACCCTGCATAGCACAAAAGAAATGCTAAAAAGCATCAAGAGATGGAGGAATGGACTGTACTTAGGATTATTAAGACTATGAGAAATAGGGACAAATCTACAGTGTTGTAAGGTCCAGAAAGCAAGAACAAGGTCTGTTTGGCTCATCACTCTATCCCAAATACCTGACATAGAATCTAGAACATGGTAGGTGTTAAATAAATACAAGTTAAATAAATGAGTAAAAATTAAAAAATAAGTTCAAAGTCACAGAACAGGTAAATATAGTAACCAGAACTTAAATCCAAATATTTTTGACTCAAGAATCAAAGATAATTATACTCTACTAATTTGAGAGAAATTGGGGCTTTATTTAAAAGTTAATAGAAATTCATTAAAGAGTTTTGGGCTGGAGAGCCATTTAACCCAGATTTTACTCTAGGAAGACTGATCTTGAGGCAAGGCAGTTTATAGCAGGAAGAACCTGACAATGGGAAGACCAGTTGACTTGTTATTATTATAGCCCATAATCAGGTAATAGGGGCCAGCCAGGTTGGTGGCCACAAGAATAGAAAGAAAGAGATGAATGAGAGACATATTTGAATAAATAAGATGGACACCTAAATTGATGGAGTACAAAGAAGACAAAGATTATTAGTGCTCATCTGGGGAATAGTGGAACAAGTTACAAAATTAAAGTAGTCAGTCAGAGGAAGTTGGACTGAAGACCAAGAAATACAATAGTTGATTTTAATCATGTTGAATTTGATGTGATTTTTTGATATGAGTGAAAATTTTCTACTATAGCAATAACTAGTAGGTTTTACATTGTTCACCAGGAGGTAGGTGTCTAGAATTAGTGAAGAATGAAGATTTCAAGAAGGAAGAATGAAGACAGAGTATTTGTATCAAACGACAGAGGAGAATAAGGAAAGGGTTCTGAGGAGAAGCCTGCTCTTACTGTGAAATAGGAACAATCAATCTTGGGTGAGCCAACATCCATCTTGGGTGAGACAGTGGCAAATGGAAGCATGAGTTCCAAGTATCTGCCATCTCAACACTAGAAAAAAATGAATATTTAGAATTCAGTTTTGCCAGAGTAACTGGGATGCTAGTTTGGCTAGAAGAAAACCTTGCACGTTAACTGCTAAGAGTTGATGGTTAAAACCAAGAGTATTTTCATGGAGAACAAGGGAAAGAAGAGAAGGCAAGTGAACCAAATCTTGAAGAATGCCTACATTGGAAAAACCAGTGAAGGAGTCAATAAATGTAAGTTTAGTGAGGCATTGAGTCACAGAAGTCAGGCAAAGTGAGAGGCTTCAAGAACAAGAATATGATTCACATGGCACCTCTTTGTTGACCTTCACAAGTAGTTTTTCAGGAGATTCAATAGTGGCAATAGTGGCACATGTGGTGAGGAAATAGAATGTTTGTTAAAGGAAGGATAATAGAAAGGAAGTGTGAGGGTCAAGAGGAGTTTATTCTTAAATTGTAGGAAAGACATATGCTTATTTGTAGACATCCCTTTCATCCACTAACATTTACTGGTGTCTACTAAGGACCAGGCAAGTGTGGTAGTGATGGGAATGCAGAAACATGGTGCCTCTCCTAGGAAGCTCACAGCCACCTGGTGGAGGCATAGGTTGATAGACAATTATGGGGATATACAGGAAGGGCAGCCAACTTGGAAGTGGTGTCAGAGCTAAGTCTTGAAGAATGGAAATTCTTAGGTGGCACAGTACTTTGTGTAAAGATATAGAGGCAAGGGAGAGCGCGGTCCATTTCTCATGGTCTGGCCAGGAGAAATGCAATTAGTTGAGCTTAAAGAGATGGGAATATACAAAAGAACAAACAGTGACACAGAAATTATTACGGCAACCTTCCAAAGGAGCAAAAAGAGGCATTTCCAAGAGCCCTGGAACATAAGACAAGTCATTCTACCTGAGACAGAGGAGAGGATGAGAAATCAGATGAAGTACAGGGGCACTGAAGGAGTTCAGGGCACATGATCTCAATGTTTTAAAGATAAATTATTGTATATGACCATCTGCTGAAGGTGATGGATATGGGGAGGGATTAGGGACTTCAGGATGGAGGATGAGGAGGTTTAGAATAGTTACGACAGGGTATGCAAACTGAGGTCAGCAAGAAATGAAAGAAAAGGTTGCTTAGAAGCTCTGAGGGCTCCTTTGAGAGAATATACAATGTATTATGACTTCCTCTTCATATTGATGGAAGATATGGAAGAAATCCAAGGCAGAACATCAAGGACACAATGATTTCAGGGTCCAAATGAAGGAACATAATTAGGCATACAGGCTTTGAAGCCTAGAAAACTAGTTGGTACAGAGGGCAAAACAAAGCTTCATTAGAAAAAAGAACAGAAGGAGAAATCATATAACAAAAAAAGGTAACATGTTGAGTGCTTACCATATATGCCAGGTGTCCTGCTAAACTGTTTTAATTACTCTTTAAAAAACACCTTGTGAAGTAAAAAGTATTATTATTCTCCTTTTAGATGAGCAAACTTGCCAAAAGTCACACAGTTAGAACCAGATTCAATCCCATATCTGGGTGACAGAAATCTGTCCAGGATCTTAAACACTTCACCAACACTGAGGCAGCTTTCTGTGCTAAGAGGGAGTGCACTGGAGGAGAAATCAGACAATGAAAGCTCTGGTACTGGCCCTCTTCCTCTCTAGTTGTGTGCTCTCACACAACTTCATCTATCTCTTAAATTCTGGGATTTAATACTCTCACATAATTATTTTAAATACCAAAAGAGATCTCATCTTTGAAAGCACTTTGTTATATAGTGCATATAAAAATAAATATAGGGTGTTGTACCTGCTCTTTTTATATATAATTCTTATTGTTTTGAAATGAACTAGAAAAACTTTGGCACTGATAGGAGGAATGACAAGAAATAGAAGAAAAGAATTTGGAGCAAATTCTTTTCTTATCTATTACAAAACAAATACACTGTAAACAAACTGCAAATGTGCGTCTCAACTTTCTAGACTAGACTATAGTGAGCAAAAAATTAAATGCACTTCTCAATATGGTGCCTGTATATATTTAAAATCAGGAACATTTGCCTCATACATTATTTATCATTGTATATTCTCTAGGAAAAAAGAAAATACACCATTACTGTCAAAAAAGCATAACAATGAATTTTCATCTCAGTTGATTTCCATTAATGCAGTGTGGAGGGCAAATGACTTTGTTTTGTTTTGTTTCAGGTTTCTTAAGGAGTCTTCAAAAGGATCTTTTTTTCTTTAAGAAAGTTTGAGGTATTATATTATGTTATGTTTTTTAAAATAAGGTTCATATCTTACAGTTGGTACATAAGTCACTCACGGTGTTAAACCTCAATTAACTAGAATCTAAGAAAGTGTACAAATGTAGTATGGAATTTTTGTTACCTCGCTTGATGACAAATCATCAGAAAACTGGTAGGGAAGGTGCACATGTTTTTCTATTTAAATAAAAAACCTTGCAGAATACCCCTGGAGTTAGTAACCCAGTCTTCTACACTTTCTTTACATTCTCTTGCTCGCAAATGGTGATGCCACTTTTCAGATTGAGAAATCAAAGCTTAATTTTTTTATAGAAGCAAAAAAAGTGAGACTAGGGACCATTGTCAATAATAGGATTTTAATTAAAATATAGGTTTCTGTTTAATCCTCTGACATTGAGGAAAGTTGAATACCCTATTTCCTTGATCATTTCAACTTAGCAAAGGGGTGTGTTAGTCAGACTAGATTCTTCTCTGGGAAATGTTTGTGTCATTCATAAGGGATGGAGGCAGACCTTTTGAAAGTATTTCTTTCTGAGCTGTGGTATCCCAATGACATTCATGGCCAGTTATTGAATGACAGCTGAATAGTCAAGTGCAGAGGCTCTGGAGACAGACTGCACATTTGAATCCATTCACTGTCTGTGTGACCTTGGGCAAGTAACTTCTCTGAGCCTCTATTTTCTCATCTGATATATTCAAGTGATTATAGTACCTACCTCACTTGTGATGGTTATTCTGAGGATTCCTTGAGTTAATGCATGCAAGCAAGTAAGCTCAGTACACAGCAGGCCAATAAGTGTTCTCTATTACTATTGTTTGTTTATGTCCTTGATAAATGCTTTTGAGCATCTACTATGTTCTAGATATTGTGCAGAGTGCTGAAAACACAAAAATGGAAGAAATAAATCTAAAAGGTTGGTGAGATTTCTGACTATTAGAGGTAGTAGATACACAAATCACAGTTTAAACTCATTGTTGAAAGGTCTATGGGGGTTCTTAAACAGGAATGCTTAACCAGGCTAGGGGAGCAATGTGGGCCTACCAATCAATCAATAATCAATCATGGTCCTTTCTTCATAATGCATTCACAATACTGAGGTGCAGCATGAGGAAGAACCTGAGTTTTAGTAGTGGCAGTGCAACAAAATACTTATAGTATGAGCCATTTCCTTTTGCTTTGGACACTTTCTTATTTGCGAAATTATAGTGTTGAACTAGTCATGTGCTGGAGCCCTCTGGCACAGGCTCATGACAGCCTATCATGTGCATCTCTTCCCAAAGCACATCCCGTGGCCTCATCTTAGCAGCTTGAAATTTACCATAGTGGGAGTGTTTACACCACATAAATAGGCCAGCACTATAAATCAGGGCTTTTCTCCCTCCCCTGGAGGGATGGTTATTAAATACTTAGAAGCATGCTCTTGGGTTGAACTTATGAACTCCAAAGTATTTTCCAACTCCAATAATTTTCAACTCTGAGAGGGTTTTCTGCAATTACATTTTACCTCATTGCCACTGAGTTGGCATATTTGCTTTCTCTTCTCTGTTTATATAATCTGCCACATCAAGCTGTATGAGTAATTTTAATGTTTATATTGGTAGTGACTCCAGAAATACTTTCACTCTTTCTATGCTTTTATTTTGATATATTTAGTCTTGTAATGTGCCCAGATCAAGCTTTCAATATTGAATATCTCTTTAATGTTTTTTTCTCATTCTTTTTGAAATAGTACTGGCCATTTAGCCAACTATGAGTTCTTTAAAAAAAGAAAGAGAATTAAAAAACACATAAAGATGATTCAAACTGACTAATTTATTCTCTCAAAATGTGGTACTCATAGCAGGTGAAACTGAATCATCCATAAAACATTTATTTATTTCTTTTCAGTTGGTAGTTAAGATAATTTCACTGGCAAAACATTTCCTGGGAGTGATTATATCAATGGCACTTTGGCCATTAATCTACTGCTATTTAGGAATATTATCTATAAAGAGGACTGCTCTGTTGGCTACAAATATCAGCTCAGCCTAAACTTAAGACCAGCTATTTAACTCTGACTGCCATCTATGGGCTTCTAGTTTCCTCATTAAACTAGCTTACATTGCTTTTTATCCCTTAGAAATCTAGTAAAACATTTATTTTTAAAGAATTTATTAAGAGCTATCTGTGCCTATCTTCACTACTACTATAATCATCATTGTCCTCATTACCAAGAAAAACCTGTTATGAGCATATATATGTGTATTGTATTCATGTACTAATTTCTTAAGAAAATCCACAACAGCTTTAATGAATATTATTTTGTAAGAGAGAGGCTTTCCACACTTTGACCTAGGTGACTTTGCTTTCACTAGGAACTGATTTTCTTAGAAATCAGTATTTTATAAGTACATAGATAGTACTTCATAGTTCATAAAATGCTGTCAATTACACCATCTCTTCTAACTTGCATGATTTCCTTGAAGGTAAGCACTATTTCTATGTTTTTAGATAGCAAAACTGAGATTCAAAGAAAACAAAATTATCTAAAATGTGGCAATCATACAATCTAGTTCTTCTGAGTGCATTTCTAATTTTTTGAGTATGCTTATTTAATTTTTTAAAAATATATTTTATTGATTATGCTATTACAGTTGCCCCATTTTTCTCCCCTTTATTCCCCTCTGCCCTGTACTCCCCTCCCACCATCATTCTCTCATCTTAGTTCTTATCCATGGGTCATACATATAAGTTCTTTGGCTTCTACATTTCCTACACCATTCTTAACTTCTTTTTGTCTATTTTGTACCCACCATTTATGCTTCTTATTCCCTGTACCTTTTCCTCCATTCTCTCCCCACCTCCTCCCTGCTGATAACCCTCCATATGATCTCCATTTCTGTGATTCCATTCCTGTTCCAGTTGTTTGCATAGTTTGTTTTTGTTTTTGTTTGGTTGTTGACAATAGTGAGTTTGTTGTCATTTTAGTGTTCATAGTTTTGATCTTCTTCTTTTTATTAGATAAGTCCCTTTGACATTTCATATAACAAGGGCTTGGTGATAATGAACTCCTTTAACCTGACCCTATCTGGAAAGCACTTTATCTGCCCCTTCCATTCTAAATTATAGCTTTGCTGGATAGAGTAATCTTGGATGGTCCAGACCCTTCCTGACTTAGAATACTTCTTTCCAGCCCCTTCTTGCCTTTTAAGGTTTCTGTTGAGAAATCAGCTGGTACTCTTATGGGAACTCCTTTGGAGGTAACCGTCTCCCTTTCTCTTCCTGCTTATAAGATTCTCTTCTTATTTTTAATCTTGGTTAATGTAATTATGATGTGTCTTGGTGTGTGCTTCCTTGGGTCCAACTTCTTTGGGACTCTGAGCTTCCTGCACTGCCTGGAATTCTATTTCCTTTGCCAGATTGGGGAAGTTTTCCTTAATTATTTTTTCAAATAAGTTTCCAATTTCTTGCTCTTTCTCTTCTTCTTTTGGCATCCCTATGATTCAGATGTTGGAATATTTACAGTTGTCTATAAGGTTCCTAAGCCTTTCCTCATTGTTTTGAATTCTTGTTTCTTCATTCTGTTCTGATTAAATGTTTATTTCTTCCTTCTGCTCCAAACCATTGATTTGAGTCCTCGTTGCCTTCCCTTCACTGTTGGTTCCCTGTACATTTTCATTTATTTCACTTTGCATAGCCTTCACTTTTTCCTGTTTTGAGACCATACTCAACCATTTCTGTGAGTATCCTGATTATCAGTGTTTTGAACTATATCTGGTAGGTTGTCTATCTCTTCATCACTTAGTTGTATTTTTTTCTGGAGCTTTGATTTGTTTTCATTTTGGCCATGTTTTATGTCTTGGCACATCTGTTTCATAGTAAGGGATGGATCCACCCACTTTGCTGCATTGTGGTGCTGTCTGTGGGGGAGGGGTCTGAGAAGAAACAACACCACTTGCTCTGCTCTCTGCCAGCTTTTAGCCACTTCCTCTGCTACCCAGAAGCAAGTTGGGCCTTTCCGGTGCTGATTCCTCAGTGGGTGGCTTTGTGTACATTCTAGGACCCTGTGGGTCTCTCCAGTGAACTCTCCTATGAGTCTGGGAGTTTCTTCAGCTGCCTCAACCCTCACAGGTTGTTTTGGTGGGGTTTTCAGGCTTTATCTCCACATGCTGGAACCCAGGGTTGCATGGTCTGTCTCTCTCCCTAGTTGTTCCTCCTGGTTTACCTGCATGCAAATGTGGGACTGCCCAGTCTGTCAGCCACCATGCTGGGTCCGCCAGCCACCACCTTCTCCACCCCAGTCCTCCAGCTGCCACCTTGCCATGAGTCCTCTCCACTTTGCTGCCCATCCCAGTCCCTTCTATAGGTCTGGATAAATGTTTCTTCTTTAATTCCATGGTTGTCCGATTTCCATACAAGTTCGATTTTCTGACAGTTCTGGTTGTTTTCGTTTTAACATTTGTTGTTGTCCTTCTTTTGGTTGTGGGAGGAGGCACAGAGTATCTACCTATGCCTCCATTTTGGCTGGAAGTGCTCTCATTTAGATTTTTAAAAATTATTTGCATGTCTTGGAAAACATTTTTATTCAGAAGACATAATATTTTAGTAAACATTTGTTTTTACCTGTCTAGCTGTCACTGTCTCTACCAGTGACAATTCTTTTGAAAACTGTCCTTTAACTATCCAATGGGGCTGCCAATCATGTAGTGTACCTCCCTCACCACAAGGTGAGCTTGTCATCCAGGCTGGCCTTTCTATTCTTTTGACCCACAACTTGGTCAGGGGTAAGCTCATGATCAAAGCAAGGCCAGTCAGAATCTTTTGGGGGAATTCAATACAGATAGTGTGAGAGAACCTTGCTCCTTCAAAGATCTCACACATGCTAGAGATGATGTTAACTGGGAGTGTTTTATAAACATCTTTGCCACTATATGGAGAAAGCCTCCCTGAGCATGACACTGACCCTAGGAGCAGAAATCTTAGATGTAGAGAAAGGCTCCCGATGTTATTACTTGAGCATCTGTATCTACCAGTCTTACGCTAATGGGAAACAGTAAAATTTTTCTTTCCTCTTTTCTTTTTCATTTTTCATTAGCAGTTTCATTATGATTCTTTTATTTCTTGCTCTTAAAAAGTCCTGACCAAACAATATCCACCCAAAGGTACTACTAATCTGTGAATTCAAACACAAAGAGCATAAGAAACTTTACATATTCAAGTTAATTAGAAAAAGATAGTTTCTTTATTTACTTAAAAATTACTTTAAATATTTCACTTTGTGCTTGAAAACATATCTATTAGTTAAAATTTCTGAGGTAGTATACTAGTTTTTTCTGCTATAGAGTTTCAAATTCTTCTACAATATTTACTTAACAGTGTCAAGATTGAAATAATGTATCAAAGTGAAGTCAAGATGTAAAAATTAGAAAACATTTCAATCTTGCTTTTAAGTATATAAAATGGGTTTATGATGATGGAAAATGACCAAGGCCCCATATTAATCAAATTACAGTCATAAAAACAGTCATAGCTAAATCTCAAGCAGGACTTGCCAGAGCGAAATCCTAAGGCAAATTCTTAGTCCTCTCTCTATATATATTACTTCTAATAACTTTAAAAGTAGGCCCATTAAAAACAAAGTAAAGGAAAGAAGATTCCAAGAAAATATTTCTGTTATAATTTAAAATGTATTTATAAACACTGCTTATGAGGTCATCTTATATCATACAATCTTAATCCAATATTGTGAGCATCCACTACATATGGTACCCTTGTTTAGATACTGAAAGTTTCTATCTTCAAAGAATGTACAGTTTGTGGATTTGGAGATAGACAGGTAAATGCTTAAAATAAAACTATGTGACCCAAAATGAAAAGTGAATGGATCTACTGGTTTGCTGAGTAAGCAAATTTTAAGGATGCTTTGTTGAATATTTGATTTTTATGCCAAAGATTTAACAGTGTTATTATCCTAAAAAAAGCCTAAACTGACTTTAGAAAGATAAAAAAATACTATGTCAAAAGTCTCTTCTAACATAGCCAACTTATCTTGAAAATTATTTCTAATAGTAAGTCAAAGGAATGAAGAAATTTTCGGGACTTTTCAGCCCATCCAACTGCTCTTGTAAAGAACATTTACATGATCCAAATTACCTATGAGTCAATCTTCTATGTAATACGTACAGCCCAGTTTGCTTGACCGTATTCTTCCCAATAGCTAATAAAACCCTTTGAAGAAGAGGTGGGGTATAGCAGAGAAAGTATGGGCTTTTCTGCCAGACAGATTTTGATGTGACGTGAATCTGGGCTTTACCATTTATGTACCTTCTGACTCAATTTTTCATTTAGAACATGGGGATAGTGTCAACTTGTTCATTTAAAACAAGGGGGATATGGTACACTTCTTGTGAGTTGGTCATGAGGGTAAGAGAAAAATTATGAAAGGAGAGGCCCTGGCATTCAATCGTGTTACATACACTGACATTCAATAAGTGTAGCTAATATACTTACTATCCTTAGATGTGTTTCAGCCAATTTTTGCTTACTGT